CGCGTGGATGAGGCGTTGAGTTCTTGTCGCGAGCGTCTCCGTCGGGGCGGCGGCGAGCATCAAGGTGTGGACGTGCTGGGCTTGAGTGATCCCGATCTTGGCCATCGTCCGGGCGTACCGAGTGTGCCATCTTGTGGTCTTTTCTATGTAACTACAGCTATCTACTGGGAGAAACTGGTTGGACCAAAGCGGTTGTTGTCCGAAGTACGTACAGCGGAAGGATAAACACTAACCAACCCTAGACCTAGATCTCAACAGGCAAAACGCTTGCTTGCGATGCTCAGGACTGAGGCAATGGCTCAATACAATACCAAGGGTTCTTGGTAATATCGAGTGCGGCCGTTCGAGCTGCCAGTTCCATGCGATCGGGCTGTCCTCATTTTCTCTGGGCAGCGTACGAGAGAGACAGCCTCGCTGGATCCCAACACAGACGATGCGACTCGGACATTCGCGCATCGTAGGAACGTCGCGCCGAGGCAAAGCTGCGTCAGAAGATTCCTGTACGCAAGCGAGCATAACACACGCGATGACGCCATCGTGAGGGAGCATATTTGATGTATCCTTTCTTGAGTTTTGCCACGTTGTCGTTTGCCCGAAAAACATTTTCAATTTTTTAAAATTCCGGGAACGACCCGGGAGCTCCGTTTTGGGCTAGTTGATGCTGCGTCTTTACTGTGCCCCGGACGACGGTCCCTACGTGCAGCCAAGACGATGGTATAAGTCCTGGTGACGTGTGGGGAGCGGTGGTACAATACATACGCCGACGTCTCAGATCCGAGCGCGCCTGCGCATACCGGCGCTAACGTTGGCGTCAAGTGCGGGCGATCGAGTCCGACGAAGTCATCTCTCGACTCAGATGGCAAAAAAGGAGCGGCATCGGCTCCATGCGGCGACGACCTGACCTGATTTCTGAGTATAGAGCAAAGCCAACCAAGCACCAAATGCCATGCTATGAACTGGAACCAAGGCTGGTAACGCACGGAAGCAACTTCTTTTAGTAGTGACCTCGTCGTCGACGGGCGGCAATGCACTCGAGTCTCTCCAAGAGACTACATGGTCTGGCATAAAGGGGGAATATGTAGAGGATACATCAGCCAAGCTTTCTTCAGTGATGGGTGCTGCCTCGAGCCGGCGCGACGTATCCATGCCAGCGGGCTTCGAATGTACCAGCTTGCACTTGCACAGAACGCGCAAGATTCGGGGCGAGAACTTGACTACAACAGCAACAGTCCCTATGCGACAATTTTCACTGGATGGTTCGTTTTGATGGGACCCCACGCCACAAGAGTCACACACCCATACAAACATCGATATATTTGGAATGGAGTGACCTGCGTGGGCCCCATTTAAAAACAGATGTTGTGGCGGCGTTCGTTGTCATGGCGATCCCGCGCTTCCCTCATTCTGCAATTTGCCAAAAGCTTCACTCCACATCATGAAGTCGGTTCTCTCGCTCGCTGCGCTCTGCCTCCTCGTGCCGTCCGCCTCGGGCTTCGGCAAGTACGTTCCGCTCGTCCCCAACGGTGACAAGGTCGCCGGTAACGGGGCCATCGGCCACGTCGACCCGAGTGGCGGTGGCGCGCGCAACGCCTTTGGCAAGGACTTTGCGGCCAACGGCGCCGCGTGGAACACGGCGCTCTGCAAGCTCGACTCGGATGGCGATGGCGCGACCAACGGTGAAGAGCTCGGCGACCCGTGCTGCACGTGGACGGCCGGCGCCGCGCTCACGTCGACGGTGACGCCGACGTCGCCGGGCACGAAGGATACGTTCACGACGGCGCAGCTTGCGGCGCTCAAGTGCGCGTCGACGCCCAGTGGCAACTCGACGGCCAAGCCCGGCAACGCGACGATCGTGACGACGAAGCCGTCGTCGTCGTCGGTCACGACGGCCCCGTCGACGACCAAGCCTGCGGCCAGCAGCGCGACGATGGCGTCCGTGTCGTTGACGCTCGCTGTTGCGGCGGCGTGGACCGTGGCCCAGTAAGTAGGGACTGTTGTAGCACGTCGTAAACTGCACAATTGTATTATTCGTTTCTTTTGGACTCTACTTTTGTATCTCAGATCTGAGTTATCATTTTGCACCATTTCCCACGCTGGAACATGTGCTTTCATTCCGTCGCCATCCCACTCTGCTGCGGTATGCATTCGGTAACCTGCCACACCGACTGCCTTACTCTTGATCTTCAGGCATAAACCACCAAGGTCCCGTGGACGTGGATGTTGGTTGAGGCTAGTCAGCAGCTATCTATGCACAATGGTGCTTTCAGAGCTGTGTGTCTTGAGTTCCGTGCAGGTTCCTAGTCGCGCACCAGCCGACCAGCGCGACCTGGCTTCGAGCCGGTGGCCACTCGACGCGAGGCTGCTTGCATTATGTACAGACTTGAGTTTGATCCAGCTGCAGTAGTGCGACCAGGACGCCTCGCTACTGACAAGCGTTCGATGTCATCGTAGCGCAGTGACAAAGCGTACATGTGATGCATATACATATGTAGTTTGTACAATATTATACGCTTAGTCTTCCTTGCTCGCTTCCGAGTCGGACGACGTGCCCTCGTACTCGTCCTTGGCGGTATCGTGGACGCTGTTGGTCATGACCTTGGCCAAAAGGCGCACGAGGAGGAAGCCCCACCAGACGTGCAGAACGTAGAGCGTAATGAGGAGCGCGTTGAAGCCAAACCACATCGGCACGCCGGGGAAGCTCAAGATGCTGAGGTCGTGGGCGTCAGCGGGCGACATGCACGCCTCGCGGTTCTCCCAGAAGGCCGAGTTGATGAGCTTCACGGGGAAGAGGTAAATGCGCACGTAGAACCAGACGCTGAGCACGATGGCGAAAAGGCCCTCGGTGATGAAGAGGCCTGACGCGCCTTCGAGCTTCATGTAGTTGGCCATCTTGAGCAGGTCGAGCGGAATGTCCGAGGCGTCGTGGACGATGAGGATCAAAACGCCGACGGGAAGGTAGCCCTGGGCATAGCTCCACGAGACGAGCGCGATCGTGACGACGTGGTGCGTCATCATGACGAGGTAGTCCTTGCGGATTTCTTCGAGGAACTTGCACGAAAAGGCCGTGTAGATCCAAATCGCCTAGACACAAAAAAAATACGGTCATGTGCACACATTCGCATGGCCGTCGCGTACGAGTTGCGTGATGTACAGGAACTTAGTCAAGTACTTCTGCGTCGGAAAGTCGCACGTCACGCTTTCGGGGTTCCACACTAGAGGCCATGCATGAGATCCTCCTCCTCATCATCATCGGGGTGACGTACTCGAGCGCGTGTCCTGCCACCACGTCTCGTCCATGATGACGACGATCTCGAGCACCGTCATGGAGGCGTGGATCGCGAGCTGCCACGACTGGTCCGTGAACTTCTTCATCGTCGTCTTCTTCTTGAGCGGATCGCCAAGGTGCTGCAGGAACGTGCTCGAGATCCAGGCTCCGCCGACGCGGAACGTCGCCTTGACGACGAAGATGGCCACGGCGACGACGAGGATCATGGCGCCGAGCGTCATGAGGAGGTCCGTCTCGAGGATGTAGAAGAGCGAGATGCACTCGGCGAGGAGCGCGGCCATGAGGAGGCCATCGAGCACCGGGTGCGGCTTCGCGACCGAGTTGCCCCGCTTGCCCATCAGGTCGAAAATTCGAAAATGAGGCTGCCGCTAGCTGCCATCTTTAAAAAATTGCTGCCGAGTATACAAACGTGCAGTTTGGTTCAAATCCGCGCATTGTAGAGGTCCATCACGCGCGCGGATTGGCTGCATGAATGGATACCGGCCGTTGATTGGCCAGCTATTCCTTAGGGAGATTGCCAGGGATGGAAGAAGATTGCCAGCTGGTCGATCGTCGCCTGTCTGGGCACAATATTTCGATGGAGACGCGGCCCATACGTTCTACTCTACTGCATAGGAGCGCTGAGTACTGGAGAGGCCTTGCACCGGGACTGAGGCGAGGGATGATGTCACGGCGCTAGCGTAAACGATCACGACAGATGCTTGTTGCATCAACATCAAGGACTTTTGTGTGTGGACAGGTACTGTGGACATGTTCGTCATCACGTCGCATGGTGCGACGAGTAGCCAGCCATCCACGAGAAAAGCGCGCGTAGAAGAGCGCGGCTCGGTGTCCGTGTGCCCAGTGCATTGCCCTGCACCAGTCGCTCGATGGCGCGGAAGAGCCATCCTGCGCCTGCGCACCCGTCCCACACCTCTGCACGATCGTGAACTGAGGCAAGCCGGTATCGCGTCGATCAACAAGCCAACAAGCTGCCATGCTCCAAATTTGATCACGTGACTCTCGAGAATACTGTTTACAAGTCCAACGTTAACGGTATAGCCACTCGCTGCGACGCGGCTTGCTGCTGCAAATCGTCGATCCGTCGTCGTCATGGTGCGAGTCGAAGTCAAAGTCGTCCATCTCCGTGTAGACCATACTTTGCACGTCGCGGTCGCGGCGCAAGCGCACCGGCACGAGGACAACGGCGGCGATGAGCATGCTCCACGCCACCGCGAGAAGCGCGAGCAGCGCGTTCGCGCCGAGCTGCTGCCACGTCGTTCGATTGCGCAAGCCGAGAACGGCGCTGCGCTGCGCGTCCGAAACGACGACGCTACTCGCAAGCAAGCCAAAGACACCGGCGCCCAAGTGGACTGCGACCGCGCTGCTGTACTCGCTCGGCACCCGAAGGCGTTGGGCCGCCACCGCGGCTTTGGCAACCGCCAAGTACGCGCCAGCTCCTCCGACGCCCAGCAGCAGCGCGACGTACGGGGCCACCAAGCCCGCCGACCCCGAGCCAGCGACGAACCCTGCAAACGCGCACACAGAGACGTCCATGGCTGGCAAGAACGTCCTCATCGCGATGAGGCCGACGAGCGCACCGCCTGTCGAAGCCAAAATGGTATGCACCGCGATGGTGACGAGCGTTGGCAGCCAGACATCGCCGCCGAGAAACAGAGTCGCGTGGCCGAGGGCGAGGCCTGGCCACCCGATGCTTGTGAGGCCCGTTGCGAGGATCGAGAACGGATCGGTGGCGTGCACTTGCGCTGTCTCGAGCGTATCGGGCAAGAGCAGCATCGCAGTCAAGACAATGGCGCCAATAGGAATATGCACCGCACCGAGGCCGCCCATATCGATTACGCCAAGACCGTTCGAGTCGAGGCTGGGGGCGAACCAGCCATGGTCCGACCACGCGGCGAGCAAAAGTGCAGGATACACGACGCCTGCAGCAGACAATATCAGAAGGAGGAGCAGTTTAGACGGTAGCTGGAGGTGCAGCGTCCCATGCAGCACCGAGATGAGGACGAGGCCCGTTGCGACGTGGAACAGCATGGCGTCGGCGGCAAGAGGGCTTAGCACCGCTGAAAGAAGCTGCAACACGAGGACGAGGACGGCCACGCCCATGCACACGATTGTCGCCGGTTCGATTCCCGCTGCCGTCTCGAGGCCCGCGGTGTAGAGCGTACTACGGCGCTGGATGCTGCTGGCGGCGGTGACGATGGACGCCATTGCATGACCGATGGGCAGTAGAAGGACCAGGAAGAGGCTCATGTGGAATGCGACCGTTCGCAGACTGGCGTCGTCGGCGGACGGCGTCTCACGGGCGCGGGCCATGGAGGTCCATACGGCTGCCAGGTCGGGCGCGTGGATCACGATCGTCGTCTCCATGCCACCGGGTTGTGCCAGCGAAGAAGATCGCGGATGGCTTTGTTGTTCCATGTACGTTTACGCACAACGTACACTACAATACGTACATTCAGCTCAACAGTACATGCGTACGTACTTTATAATGTACTATATTCGGCATATGCCATCCTGGCGAGCCCGATACTACTGCAGTAGGCAGTACTACGAGACCCGACGCAGCGGGCCACACGGCACATAGAGCGTGTGATCTATTGATGCCAATCAAGATAAGGCTGTAGTAGTGCAGGTATGGCGTGGCAATAGGAATGGTCGCGATCGTGCTGAGTGTGGGGTGGCATACCTGGCATATGCCGAATCGAAGCATCCCAACCATAAACCAACAGGAGCATCATGTCGGGGAAGCGGAAGGACCGAGCGCAGAAGCGCCGCCGAGACGACGACGACGATGACGATGAGACCGTCGAAGTCGGCGCCGCTCTCTCGGCTTATCAGCAGCGCAAGCAGCAGCAGCAGCGAGGCGACGGGTCTGGCGATGAAGGCGATGAGCTCGACGAGGACCAGCGCGAGCGCCGGGCGTTCGAGGAGCGCATGCGGCTCAAGGACGAAGAGCGCACGCGCAAGCGGTCTGGCCAGAAGGAAGAGTCGCTCGACCAGGCCGAGCTGCGCGAGCTTGCGACGCGCGGGTCC